CGATCTCCACGCTATGGAAAGGTCACTGACTCCAGAGGCTCTGTTGAACCACGATGAGTTCAGGGATCGAAAACACATTGGGGGCACTCCTGAAACGCCACCGTGTCAAGTTGATGCATAAAAAGAGTGATACAAACCAAAGCTGAGAGAAATGCACAGCACAAAGTCATTTCACCTGTTCTGACCCTTGAATAGTTCCTTTTCTCCCCAGTTTTTAATTTTCATGGCATTTTTCTAGAGGGAAGATCTTTTTCTTTCAGTTTCCCCCTCTTTTTGCACATGGGTGGTGGAGCACGTGGCCCACACACTGATCATGTCTCCAGCTGTGACCCAGGACAGCCGCTGCCGAGATGTAACAAGGTCACTCTACTTCTATGGCCCACTGTGTCACTGACCTCTCTGTTGAGGCTGCTAATAAGGCCAGAGATGCACCATCTGCAGCAGAGTTTTTGCAGCCATCTGTCTTACTGGGAAGTGGCATGAGTCCACCAACAGGCCACCAACAGCCGTCAAACAGAAGCAACGTCCAGTTTTCAGTGAGACTGTGCCAAGTTGGCCATGTCTGAAGCGATCGCTTGCATCCGAAAGCTCATGCCGTTCATGCCGATGGCTGAGTGAGGTGGCACTAAGCAGCAACCATTATTTGGGGGTTTTGAATGGGAAGTGGAGGGTAAACTCATTTCCTCTCTGATACGCAGCCCAAAGCTGGAATCACCTCCTTTTTACTCTGCCCCCTTCTCTTTACCGTGTTCCTTTCCCTCTTTCTCTCCCGCCCTTTCTTTCTGTTTCCCGAGTGTATAAACAAACCTTCGCCGGGCAAAAATCCTGGGAAAGTTTCCAGATTGTCAGCCTCAGTGAGCCTATTCATCGGAAGTGTTTCGTACTCAAGCTGAGCCTATATATCCGTGCTCCAGATGCCTTTGTCCAGAGGTCTGAATGGGAAATTTCCCAAACCAAAGCTCCCTGAAACAGCTGAGCTCTGGTGGGTGCTCCCCAGTGAAGACCAGGCAGCTAAAGCATGAAGATTTTCTCCTCTGCACAGTGAAAAGGAACTGCTTGATACAGCTCCTGTGTTTTAGCAACAACAGCTGGAATAATACTGCTGATCCCACTTCTGAGCATTTCTCCAGCTGTTGTCTATCAAACTATATAACATCTAGGGCAAAACAAAGCGGGAGCCAGGAGATAATGTTGACTTGAATATGATGTTCCTGAGACCGTTAATAGGAAAGCACATTCATGTCCAGCAGCTATGCCTAAAATAAAAAGGACACACAGAGTGCTCAGGGCTCAGCCACGGGAATGCTGTGAAGTTTAGGAGACATGAAAACATGATCTACAGAGAAGAAATGAAACAAACTCAGCGCACCAAAAAGAGAAATTTTAGAGATCACTTGATCATGCTTTACAAATATTTACACAAAGAGACTTAGGATAGAGAGCCCTTCAGTCAAGATATAGCTGGTCTCAGGATCACTTGGAAATCGATGTCCATCCTTGACTAGCTCAGAAGTGCCCATTCAAGCCTCCCATAAACATGTCCCCCCCATTCATGCTGATCATTTTGGGCATAGGCATAGAAGCAAAGGCTGGAATGAGAAATTAAGAAGAGTGCATTTTAAACAGGGCAGGCAATTGACTTTACTGTCCTCAATAACAGTAAATATTGAGGGGCACAGTCCTGGAAGAAAATATATCATGTTATTCCAAATGACTCCATGCTCCAAATTCCATGCTCCAAACTGATTCAACCTCATATCTGAACTTGGTTTCAGATCCTGAACTGATAGCAAAGAGAGGGTGAGGCTCGAACACTTGCTCTTTACTCCTCTATCCTAACTTTCCACTTGATCCTGACACCAGTGACACCAGTAAGTCACCTACCAGCGCTGCCCAGTGCTGCCCAGCCTGAGGAAAAGCAGGAGAGGACAAGGACTTGAGCAGATCCAATGATACCCCAGGCACGGAAAAACCTGAGTTCTAGATAAACGTTATCATGATCAGTCTTCAGCTCAGAGCACTTGCCATAATTAACTAGCCACTATGCACTGTCACAGTATCAACACAAACAAGATGCATTTTTGCTCATTTTTACTCCCTTGTTTCTTTCCTCTATCAAAGCACAGAGAAAGTTATCTCAATTCCCAACTCTGAACTGAATTTACACTTTCCTCCCTAAGAGCCTCAGACTGATCCGTTCTCCCCAAAGGGTCACCAGTAATTTCCAGACAGTGTGTTCTCTGTAGTCACTCCATCAAACAGAAGCAACGTCCAGTTTTCAGTGAGACTGTGCCAAGTTGGCCATGTCTGAAGCGATCGCTTGCATCCGAAAGCTCATGCCGTTCATGCCGATGGCTGAGTGAGGTGGCACTAAGCAGCAACCATTATTTGGGGGTTTTGAATGGGAAGTGGAGGGTAAACTCATTTCCTCTCTGATACGCAGCCCAAAGCTGGAATCACCTCCTTTTTACTCTGCCCCCTTCTCTTTACCGTGTTCCTTTCCCTCTTTCTCTCCCGCCCTTTCTTTCTGTTTCCCGAGTGTATAAACAAACCTTCGCCGGGCAAAAATCCTGGGAAAGTTTCCAGATTGTCAGCCTCAGTGAGCCTATTCATCGGAAGTGTTTCGTACTCAAGCTGAGCCTATATATCCGTGCTCCAGATGCCTTTGTCCAGAGGTCTGAATGGGAAATTTCCCAAACCAAAGCTCCCTGAAACAGCTGAGCTCTGGTGGGTGCTCCCCAGTGAAGACCAGGCAGCTAAAGCATGAAGATTTTCTCCTCTGCACAGTGAAAAGGAACTGCTTGATACAGCTCCTGTGTTTTAGCAACAACAGCTGGAATAATACTGCTGATCCCACTTCTGAGCATTTCTCCAGCTGTTGTCTATCAAACTATATAACATCTAGGGCAAAACAAAGCGGGAGCCAGGAGATAATGTTGACTTGAATATGATGTTCCTGAGACCGTTAATAGGAAAGCACATTCATGTCCAGCAGCTATGCCTAAAATAAAAAGGACACACAGAGTGCTCAGGGCTCAGCCACGGGAATGCTGTGAAGTTTAGGAGACATGAAAACATGATCTACAGAGAAGAAATGAAACAAACTCAGCGCACCAAAAAAGAGAAATTCTAGAGATCACTTGATCATGCTTTACAAATATTTACACAAAGAGACTTAGGATAGAGAGCCCTTCAGTCAAGATATAGCTGGTCTCAGGATCACTTGGAAATCGATGTCCATCCTTGACTAGCTCAGAAGTGCCCATTCAAGCCTCCCATAAACATGTCCCCCCCATTCATGCTGATCATTTTGGGCATAGGCATAGAAGCAAAGGCTGGAATGAGAAATTAAGAAGAGTGCATTTTAAACAGGGCAGGCAATTAACTTTACTGTCCTCAATAACAGTAAATATTGAGGGGCACACTCCTGGAAGAAAATATATCATGTTATTCCAAATGACTCCATGCTCCAAATTCCATGCTCCAAACTGATTCAACCTCATGTCTGAACTTGGTTTCAGATCCTGAACTTGTTTAATTCCATGCTCCAAACTGATTCAACCTCATATCTGAACTTGGTTTCAGATCCTGAACTGATAGCAAAGAGAGGGTGAGGCTCGAACACTTGCTCTTTACTCCTCTCTCCTAACTTTCCACTTGATCCTGACACCAGTGACACCAGTAAGTCACCTACCAGCGCTGCCCAGTGCTGCCCAGCCTGAGGAAAAGCAGGAGAGGACAAGGACTTGAGCAGATCCAATGATACCCCAGGCACGGAAAAACCTGAGTTCTAGATAAACGTTATCATGATCAGTCTTCAGCTCAGAGCACTTGCCATAATTAACTAGCCACTATGCACTGTCACAGTATCAACACAAACAAGATGCATTTTTGCTCATTTTTACTCCCTTGTTTCTTTCCTCTATCAAAGCACAGAGAAAGTTATCTCAATTCCCAACTCTGAACTGAATTTACACTTTCCTCCCTAAGAGCCTCAGACTGATCCGTTCTCCCCAAAGGGTCACCAGTAATTTCCAGACAGTGTGTTCTCTGTAGTCACTCCAATTCACAGTAGTTCTCCCCAAAGGGTCACCAGTAATTTCCAGACAGTGTGTTCTCTGTAGTCACTCCATTTCAATTCACAGTCATTCACCTGCTTCTGGTTTTCTTTGTTTAGCTTAGAGTTACATGGTCTCAGCATGTTTGCAATGAGTTTAGGAAAGGCATTGATCTCATAATATAAACTCAGACCTTGTTCAATGCAGTATAGGGGGAGAATCCCATAAACACCTCAGGTTCTCCAGCTTATACAGTCCACCAAAATGTATCTAAGGGGGGCATGGGCCAATGTGGGCCTTTGTTCAATAAAACTTTGCCATGAAATCACTTCAGTCTCTATAAATGATACAATTTAAGGTTACACCTGACCTGCTTATAGGTGTACAGGAGCTCTCTGCAATGGGATGTACTGAGAAATCCCATACGCATCTGAAGCCAAAGGCAATATGTAGCTAAGAGGTTGGGGAGTTATTTAGACCATGCGGTTTATCATCCTTAAGCTCCTGAAAAGTGCTGCCATTCCTTCAGGCCAGATGTTTTCATAACGGGTCGTGGATGTTTTTGATGTTATCAAAGACCCAAGCGGGAATACCTCTAAGCAATCTGCCTGCCAGAAGGCAGCGCGCGTCCACCTCTCCATGAACAAGGTTTCCTGGGGTACACGAAGGCATCTAAAAACAGCACGCGGCTTTTCAAAATGGAACAATGAGACTACATGGGGTCATGGAACTAATTTCGCTCTACTAATTTCTCTGGCGCTAAAAGGAAAGGATAATGCCAACTAAGCCACCATGATGACTTTTTGCAGGACCCACTCATTACAAAATGGTTCTTCCTCGGGCACCAGACACCCAAAACAGGAGAGCAAAACCTCCAGGATCCATGTAGATTGAAAGACAGTTACTTTCCCCAACAAGAAGAGAAGAGAATGAAAGCCATACCTCCAAACAGAGACATAAATGATAATCAACAGCAAAAGTGTCAGCGAAGATACTCCACAGCCTACAATTAACGTGACAGAAGGGACCAGCACCTTTTCCATGTTCTGAAAGAGAGAAAGTAAGACATTAAAAAAAAAAAAAGAAAAAGAAAAAAAAAAGAAAAAAAGGAAGATGCTCAGCAAACACTATGAGCTCAATTTCATGGCAAGAACTTTCCTCCTGATTGCTTGTGTGTCAACTCACCTGACCTCCGCATCACACTGCACATACAAATGAAGAGGAAAGAAGACCAGGAAACTTTCCTCCTGATTGCTTGTGTGTCAACTCACCTGACCTCTGCATCGCACTGCACATACAAAGAGGAAAGAAGACCAGGGTCTGTTTCTGCTTGATCCACCCCTTCTTAGACCTGATCCTGCTCCCACACACCAGTGTTAAGTCTGGGTAACAAATCTGATATCCATGGCGAAGTAGGTATGTAAAAAGTGAGGATTGCAAGAGAAGGATCAGGGCCTTCATATCCAGCATGAAACTCTGAAGATAATTAATGAGGCAATAGCAGAAGGCAATGCCTACACTAGAACAATTACAGAGGAGCTCTGCTGGGAATGGCGGTGACGAAGGTAGAAAGATGAAAAGAAGGTGAAAATCTTCCACCAGCTACAAATATCCATCTGGAAAAGGAGGAGATGAAGCAAGCAAAATAAAAAGAAGATGTATATCCTTCTTGGGGGAACCAGCATCCAGTCTTACCATCCATCACTTCACTACTCTTAACATTACTACACAAGGTATTTCTTCCTAAGCAGGGGTGCTCACTGGAAATGCTGGTGTGGATTGGTTCTCCTTTCCCGCCTGAACATGGAAGATCTGCTGATCGTCAGTTCTTGCAGCGCCAAGAACAAACACACCCACTATAACCTCTCCTAAGCTAGTTCTCTGCGTCACTGGGACTAACTGTGCAACCATCCAACATCTGCCAGCCTACTATCTCTAAACTCCCCTCGTTCTCAGCTCAGAGTGAGGATCTGGATCCCACTTGGTTTTCTCTCCTCAGGCTTTTTTCCCTGTGTGTGTCTTATTTCCACATCAGCGATCTCTGAGGGCAGAGAAGCAGAGACCCACCGTGCAGCAGACACACGAGAACCCTCTATTTAGAGCGATTAGGCAGGAGGCAGAGGTGTGGGACCACAGTCAAGGTTCTCATTAGACTGGCGCAGTCCCAACACCTATCGCTACAGCCGTGGAGACGAGATGGTTTCTGACATAGTGAGGGCTTAGCATAGGAAAAATTAAAAAAAAATGCAATTATGCCTGAATTTGGGAATGGAACAGGCAGTTCTCTAAGGACTTGTCTACACCGTTTTGTTGGCAGACATGAGGCTGCTCAACTCGAAACTCCAATCAGTGGGACACCACGAAGCTGAGGCTATCACTGCTCTGTTCCAGGCTACTGAGCCTTCTGCAAAGCTAAATATATTAGGCAAGGCCCGGTGCTATGCTTAGATGGAGTCTGGCCAGCTCAACACATGGGTAAAGCAAGCGTGTGTCCGTTGGCTCAAGGCCAACGGTCGGTACAGGTTTACTCCACAGAGCCCTCCACGAAGAATGGACAAACAACTCAAATATATTAGGATCTGGGCTGAATTGTCCATGCAGTCTGAAGGGCCTGGGAAGATCCTTCTTGTATAATTGGATCAAGGGCACCTGTCACATTTTGAATCTCATTGAGGGAGAAGGAGGGAATTAATGAGGAACAAAACTTCCACCATACCGCTGCAGTGAACCCCACAGGAGCTATTGGGAAGACTGGCACTGGAGCTTAAGGGACATGAGACAAAATTTAGTGACACATTTGATGGCTTGAATGCCCAACTGGCAGATATACTCAAAGGAGTCCAGGCTGATTGAGGGATCTTTACTGGATGCAGACCAGCTACAGACCATAAGCCAAACTGCACTGCAGTGTGGTGCTACCTCCCCGTGATGTCCCCTCCCTACACACAATATCAGCTCTGACCCATCACTACCACAGCTTCCTTGAGTTTGCTCCGTGAAACAGGAGGCTTAGGACTCCAAAACTACACCATAGATACGATTTCAACTTGCAGAAATTATGGAACTGTGTTTCCGGCAAGATCTTAGCCCTTTTCACCACCAGCAATCGCACAGAAACTGCAGGAATAACACAGCACTCAGCCTCACCCATCCATCCAGCAAGGTCCTGCATCTCCCACCACCGAGGGCTTCCCAAAACGCTCACGGAAAACGTTTCAGCTCACATGTAGATCCTTCCTCTAAATTTCTACGGAGACTCGAATCACTGCAATTTTTAACATCAACTGATGTGACTGTATTCCCACCCTGAGAATTAACTCCTGCCAAATATTTGTGGACAGTTAGAAGCAGGTTTTTTGGGAACTAGGTAAACAGAAAGAAATCTCAATGAAAATATCAATGTTTTGATTTATCTTCCATCAAACAAAACTGAAATTGGATGTCTTCCAGCCCCCCTGAGTGCTGAAATACCGTATCCTGCTTCTTACAAATTGAAATGTGGAAGGGACGTTATTCTGGGAACAGAAGCCTCTGATTTAACAAGGCACTGGGGTAGGGGACGGGGGAGAGAGATACAATCTCCAGTATGAAGGCACAGATTCTTCCTTTGCCACCTGGGTTTTTGTTTTCCCCCCTGCAGAATCCAGGTGGGCAACTGCCCTGCCCCACCTCGGGGATGCACGATCTTGATAAACACACCACAAAGCACAAGCTCCTCAGACATTCATTGCTCCTTGCTCTCTTGCTCTGAGCTCACTCCCAACCCTTTTTCTCTCCCCGCTCCCCCCTTACGGCAATATGAGTTCACATCGCACAAATGGTGGCCTGCGATGAGCATCGATTGTGACATTTGATTTAAGTAGGTCTCATTTCACTGACTTTTCATGGGTAACTGGATAAAAGTGGGGGAGGAGCTCCATTAAACCAAAAAAAGCCCGACATATAACTCATTCCTAAACCATCTGAGAGCAGCTGAAGAAACGGATTTTAAGAGATGAGCAGACTACATCCCTGTATCTCCAACACAGTAATCCTAATTCTCTTCCCTTCCACATCCTTTCTGACATCCTTCCACCCCTAACAACCTCAGGTCCTTTCACTCCCTTTCCCATCCCCTTTCCCACATCACTCATCACCCTCTCCTAGATCCTTCATCAGCCGAGTAAGAGGTTGCATGTACTGGACCATTCCTAGGTCAGATGTTTGCTCATTGACAAGAAATTATACAATGATGACAGGCCAAGTGGAAGCCACATTTATGGGTGGTGCCTATCTTCAGCCCTTCCCACAGAAAAGACCCTGATCTGCACCTCCTTCTCTATCTTTCAGCCAAACTTTTAGAAAACCCATGCCCACCAGAAAGACTTATGCTGAAGTGATGCTACAAAGCTCATCCCTTCTCCCTACAGAGAAGGGATGGTTGGTCCAGCCCTGATGGGATTTCTGTTGGCATCATGAGAGTGGATAACCATAAAAAACACTGCCTGCAATAAGAACAGGAGCTCACTCCTTTAGGAATAATAAATCATAAAGTCTTAGGCCCACGTAGCTTAGCATTCTGCTTTGTTTCTTCATTATTAAGGTTTCTCTGTCCTCCCTATCTTCCTTTCCCCCTCCCCTACTTCTTCCCTTTGGCAAATGAAGCATTGTTTGTTTTATTTCTTCTGACTAATTAAACCCCCTGACAGAAGGTGGTCGGACGCTGTAGGATCTGAACCTTGCAAGGGAAGTTTCTTTGGAGGAGAAGGAGGGGGAAAAGCAAGGTTGGTTTAAAAAATAATAATGCAACCAAGCGAAAAACAGCAAGGCATTCTCCAGGTGAGAGAGAAAGCAGTCTTGTGGGAGCTTCCCAGCACCAGAGCTGAGGAGCAAACTGGTTGTCTGCAAAGGACAGGCCAGAAAAAGGGTCTCCACCTGCTTAGTCTGGAGAAGGTCCCAGGTGGCCCATACTCTGCCCTGCCCCTCGCCACCTCCATATGTCTTCTGATGGGTGCCACCCAGAAGCACCCTGAAACACAGACGGATCTGTGCCCAGTTGGAGCTGGAAAGAAAATTTTTGCCTGGGCTAAGCAGGAACAGAGCAGGTTGTTACAAGTCGCAAGTCCTGCGATTCTGTCACCAAGCTTGACAAGGGACGAGGGAAGCAATCAATGACATCAGCTGGGATGGAAATAACGAGTTCCACTGCCCGGGGCTGCTCGCTGTCCTACCACCTCATCGTTCCGCCTGGCAGGACACTCCTCTTTTCTTTACAATTTCACTTTGCTTCCTTCTCCTTCTCTTCTATTTCCTTCCCTTCCTTTCTCCCTCATTTTTTTTCCTCTCCTTTGTCTTCTTTCCTCTCTTCCTTTGGCCATTCTACATGACATATTCTGCCTTTTCTTCTTCCTCTTAATGCATCTCTCTGGCTCTCCCTCTCCCCCCACCCCTTACATTCTCTGCATTTCTCATTTCTTCTCCTGCTTTCTGCACAACACTGTGAAAAGCGACTTCATTCAAGCCGTGCTTGTTCCATTACCCTGCTCTGGCTCCAGGGTCAAACAGGCTCCAATTAGAACAAAGTCAAAAATGGTATTTCTTAATGCCGCGCAGTTTGCCTGAGACCTTACAAGCAAGCTGTTCTTTCAGCTTTTTCTATCCTTGATATCAAGAAAGGCCGAACAGAGTCATTATAGGTACAACATCATACTAATAAAGCCACCGAAAAATTAAACCATTGATTTTGCTCCCAATTTAAATACAGAGATATGAGTTGGGAATCTGGAGTGCTGGGCTTTGTCTGTTTTTAGAAATGTGTTTGCTATTCAGAGTGGTTGCCTTGAGCCTGACTTCCTGCACATTTGAAATTAAAGACTCATGAAGTCAGAAAATTACAGAAGTATTGGTTGCAAGGGACATTTAGAGCTTTTGAATCCAATTTACTGCTTGGAGCAAGACTATCACTAACATCAGGTGAGACTGATCATGGTTTTTTGTTCAGATGAGTCTTGGAAGTTCTCAAAGATGGAGAACTCCCATCCCTCTGCTGACCATTCCAGGGCCACAG